AGAAGAGGTCAAAAGGTGTTGAGTAATAAAAATTAAGTGATTTTACCTTTTGAAAATTGCAGAAAGATATAAAGGTATATTCTGTCTAAAAATCTAATTGGCCTATAATATCCAAAAAAGTTGAAGAATATAATGGGCATAAAATATCCATCTGGGCATAACAGGATAAAGTTGGAAAATATAATGGGCATCAGATATTCATCTAGGCATAACAGAATAAACATAAGGCAATCAAAAATGTATTTAATTTCAAAAAGGAATATAAGGAAGAGGTTATAACTTATTGAAGGGTTAAGGTTAATTAAACCAGTTTTGCCTGTTAACTATTGCAATTCAAGTAGCAAGGACAGTGTGGGGGAAAAAAAAGATTTTAATTGAAGATCAATTTCCAATTCCACCACTAGGTGTCAGCAAAGGACATCAGTCCAGAAGATATTAGCTGTAAAAACAATTCACTGCTATAAAAATGCATATAAAGCAAGCCCTCAGGTGACAGAGAAGTCACCATTTTCTTGAGGCCCACCCCTTTGAATAGATCAATCAAAATACCTTTTTTCAGATCCAAAACAGCTTCCAAGATACTCAGTGTGCACTGGTGATTAGCAGAAAGGCCATTTTAAAATTCCCGCCCTCTTTTGTATCCTCCACACTGGTTGACATATAGGGGTTTATTTACTAAAGCTGGAGAGTCCAAAATCAGAATCCCTTCTGCATAGAAACCAATAAGCTTCTAACCTCAGCATGTTCAATGAAGCTTTGGCAATGAAACCTGGAAGCTGATCGGTTTCTATGCAGAAGGGAGTCTGATTTTGGACTCTCCAGCTTTAGTAAATAAACCCCATGATGTCATCGGCCTGGTGCTGGCTTCCAAGATACAACTGCGCATGTGCGAAGGCTCTAATGCACATGTGTGAGCCAGTAATAGATTACCACAATGACAAAGCTGACAGGACATATAGCTCATTAAAAAGGGAGCAATACAGGTGGAACTTGCAGAGCTGGCTTGAATGGACCAGACCTGAATTCTACTGCCATCTTGTGGCTAAAAAGAAAAGTTGCACCCAAAGGAAAATATACAAAGAATTGGTCACCATAAAAAACATGAATCATTTAGTTTTATTAAAAAACGAAGAACATAATTAAGTAAATTAAAGATTGATCCAAATAAACCAGACTTTTGCTCTATTGCCCCCTGAATACTAGAATCAAGAATGCTACAAAAGGAGTAAATATATAATTAAATGGCACCAATTCAATAGACAAGCACTTTATATATCCTGCACTTAAAGAGGTAGTAATAAACGCCAGATTGGATAGTGGTTCTTCTAAATTGAACGTATTTTATCTCAAGCTGTTTGGAGCCTTGCAATGTAATTAAGGAAAGACATTTAAATGATTATCTGATCTCTGTATGGGAAAAAGGAAGGCAGGACAAGGCCAAAAATGTACTACAAAAAAGGTTTGAAACTCAAGAATTCATTCAGGCCTGGGTATTGAGTAGCATTAAGCCTATAGATCCAACGTGTCTCAAGTTGGGGGAGTGTTTGATCATAATTCTCACCTCGTACATGTAGGGAGATGTGTTCAAGGGCCATTAATTTAATCATGCCTAGATCAAAATTATGACATAGACCTGCATGTCTACTTATAGGGGTTTCCATCTTATGATTTTAATGAGGGAAACATGATCTCATTCGTTCAAAAAAATGATGTTTTGTTTTGCCCACATAGAAACAACCACAGAGGCATTTCAGTGGATAAAACTATAGCTGGTGTTTGACAGGTAATTCTGTATTTAATACGGTGTACTGAACCATCTGGGAGATGAACTTCCCCACAGTTTGGCATAAAACTGCAAAAATTACATTTACGACAGGAAAACGAACTGCTATAGATTAGGTTGACTTGGACTGTAATGACTCCGAACTAACTTATCTTTTACAGAGCACGCTCATTTATATGTAACCATGGGGTTCAGAGATATATATTTTCTTGCCATCAGGTCAGCCAACAAAAGAGGCCAATATTTCTGGAGAATTTTATTTATCTGTAAATGCTGTTTGGTATAGGTAGTAATAAGCCTTACCCTAGAACAGGGGTGGGCAAACTTTTTGACTTGAGGGCCGCAATGGGTTCATATATTGGACCCGGGGGCCGGACCAAGAGTAGATGAATGATGTGTATGTGTCATCCATAGTAAGTATAGTAATATTCCCCCATAGTAAGCATAGTAATTAATCCCCCATATAGTAATTCATCCCCCATATAGTAATTCATCCCCCCATAGTAATTCACCCCCATAGTAATTTATCCCCCATATAGTAATTCATCCCCCATAGTAATTCATCCCCCACATAGTAATTCACCCCCCATAGTAATTCATCCCCCATATAGTAATTCATCCCCCATATAGTAATTCATTCCCCATATAGTAATTAATCCCCCATATAGTAATTCACCCCCCATAGTAATTCACCCCCCATAGTAATTCATCCCCCATAGTAATTCATCCCCATATAGTAATTCATCCCCCATAGTAATTCACCCCCCATAGTAATTCACCCCCCATAGTAATTCATCCCCCATATAGTAATTCATCCCCCCATATAGTAATTCATCCCCCATAGTAATTCATCCCCCATAGTAATTCACCACCCATAGTAATTCACCCCCCATAGTAATTAATCCCCCATAGTAATTCACCCCCCATAGTAATTCATCCCCCATAGTAATTCATCCCCCATATAGTAATTCATCCCCCATAGTAATTCATCCCCCCTATAGTAATTCATCCCCCCTATAGTAATTCATTCCCCATATAGTAATTTTTCCCCCATAGTAATTCATCCCCCATATAGTAATTCATCCCCCATAGTAATTCATTCCCCATATTAATTCATTCCCCATATTAATTCATCCCCCATAGTAATTCTTCCCCCATAGTAGTTCATCCCCCATAGTAATTCATCCCCCATAGTAATTCATTCCCCCATATTAATTCATCCCCCATAGTCCCCAAGTCCCCCCTGTGTCAATTCACTTACCTTTGCTCCGCGCGTTCCTCTCGCCGTCTTCCCGCGCCGTTCAGGTGTAGCATGAAAATCTGTCTCCTATGAGGATCTGTCCCCCTCGACGTATCTGCGCATGTGGCAGTTTCAGGCATTAGCAGCCGATCGGCGATCTCCGGCACATGCGCAGATACGTCGAGGGGGACAGATCCTCATAGATTTTCATGCTACACCGGTCTTCAGGGCGGACTGTGAGAGGAGCCTAGCTCCGCGGGCCGGATTAAAAGGTCCGCCGGGCCGTAGTTTGCCCATTGCTGCCCTAGAATCATCTTTCGTTTTCGATTTTCCAAAAAATAGGAAGCGTCTCTCCTGTTTATGGACTTTTTATTAAAGGCTTTCTTTAAACAAGAATGGCTATATCCTCTTTTCTGTAACCGGGTATAGAGGATATTAGCTTCTTGAATAAAATCCTCATCTTTGGTACAGTTCCATTTAAGCCGAAGATATTGGCTATAAGGAATACTCTTTACTAAGGAGGGGGGGTGGGAACTTGAGGCATGTAGAATAGTATTGCCTGCAGAAGGCTTCCTATAGAGGGATGATCCCAAAGAGCCATCTGACTCTATGAATAATTGTACATCAAGAAATGTGATTTTCTCTTGGTGGCATGACATGGTAAATTTTAGATTGTAATCATTGTAACCCAATATGATCATAAAATTAGTAAGCTCAGTGTATGTGCCCGACCAAAGCATCAGGATATCATCAATATAGCGATACCAGGAAAGAACATGTTGGAGATAACAGTCAAGATCTTCACATACAAACAAGTCCCTCTCCAACCCCCCCCCCCCCCGCCCCCCCAGTACAGGTTGGCATACGATGGGGCACAATGAGTTCCCATCGCAACCCCCTGCACCTAGAGGTAGTGGGAGAGGTTAACCACAAGCCTACAGGGCTCTTATACCCCCTTCCTGCCCAGGCCAATTTCCAGCTTTCAGCGCTGTTGCATTTTGAATGACAATTGCGTGGTCATGCAACACTGTACCCATATGAAATTTTTATTATTTTTTGTGACAGATAGAGCTTTATTTTGGTGGTATTTAATCAACTTTGGGTTTTTTATTTTTTTCTTAAACCAAAAACCATTGAAAATGTAAAAAAAAAAAAAAGTTTCTTAGTTTTTGCTATAAAATTTTGTAAATAAGTGATTTTTCTCCCTTCACTGATGTGCGCTAATGAGACTGCAGTGATGGGCACTGATAGGCTGCACTGATAGGTGGCACTGATGGGCGCTGATGAGGAGGCACTGGTAGGTGGCACTGATGGGCATTGACAGGCATCACTGATGGGCACTGAAAGGCAGCACTGATATATGTGTAAGGGATTTCCCGCAAGAAGAATCGCGATCGGGAACGCGCATGCGCATAGGAATTCCCTCAGAAGAATTGCCGGTTGTGCGCATGCGTGCAGGAACGCGCGATCGCGCAAGTGCACACGCACAGCGAATATTGGCGCCAGACAGCCCATTTAAGGAGTGCCTTTGCTCAGGTTCAGTGCTGACTGGTCTTCAGCTCCCCCCTGTGTCCTGCTTGTTTGTACGATTCCTCCGTTACCAACCTGGCTTGTTCCTGACCCGACTTTGTTTACTCTCCTGCTACCGGTTCCAGACTTCGGCTCTGCTCCTGAATTTGGCTTTTCCTTCTGATTCTGTACTGCACTGCCTGACTGTTGATGACCCTGGCTATCCTATGACCCTGCTCCTGTCTCTTGTCCTTGCTACCTACCTTTCTCTGCTGCACGTCTGGCAATCCACAGAACCTGCTCTGTCTGTTATTACGGTGCCTAAATCAGAGGATCATCTGCAAGAGCTGCAAACAACAACCACTGGTGCTCTTGTCCCCCTGGTCCCTAGACTCCCTCTCTTCCAACCTCAGCGGGGTCAGGGCTAGTGACACAAGTGAGGCCGACCTCGTCAATTCAGTCTCCCATCAGGTACGTGACAATATGGCACTGATAGGCGGCACTGACTGGCACTGGTAGGTGGCACTGATAGGCGGCACTGACGGGCACTGATAGGCGGCACTGATGCGCACTGATAGGCGGCACTGACTGGCACTGATAGGCACTGATTGGCAGCACTGATAGGTGGCACTGATTGGCATTGATAGGTGGCACTGACTGGCACCGATGGGTAACACTGAAAGGCAGCTCAGATGGGCACTGATATGTGGCATTAATGTGCACTGGTAGGCACTGATATGTGGCACTCATAGCTGGCACTGATGGACACTGACAGGTGGCACTGCTGGGGCTACACTGATCATCAGGGACACAGCTGATCACATGACCGAGCCGACATCTTTGGCTCTTTCCATGGATCGGTGATCTGCTGTGACACAGCCCACCACTGATCGCTGCGCTGCGCACTCCAGGAGTCACGCATGCATGGTTAGAATGGGAGGACATCATATGACGTCCTCCCAGAACGAGAGAACCACCTTGCGTCCGTCATATTATTATATGGCGGGCGGGAGGTGGTTAAACATAAACACGTTACGTGTTAGAATAAATGTCAATAATTGTAACACAAATTTATTGTAGTCAGATGCTGCCAGACCCCGTTTGCATAATTGTTTAGCTATAACTATTAGCCCCTTCTCATGAGGAATAGCGTTGTATAAACTTTTTATGTCAATAGCAACCAACCACGTGTCCATAGGCACGTGCAAACCGTCAATGATCTTCAGGAGATCTATAGTGTCTTTCACAAAAGAGGAAAGGGACTTGACATGAGGGTGCAAATATTTGTCCACCAAGCAATTTGCATTCTGTGTAAGGTTATCACAGCCTGAGATAATGGGGCGACCCGAGGGGGAAGCCACAGATTTATGCACTTTTGGAAGTGGATAAAAAGTGGGAATTTTGGGATCCTTAACATTAACGTAAGACCAGGTATCTTTATCAATGATATTTTTTGATAAGCTTTTAGAATAAGAGGTCTAAATTCTTTGAGATATGGGCCTATACCATTCTATATTTTTAAGAATTTGCATACACATTTGTTCATACTGTGAAAGATCCTGAATGACTAAATTTCCTCCCTTATCAGCAGGCTTAATAACTATGCTGGTGTTATTTTGTAGAGAAATGAGCGCCTTTCTGTGGGCAGAGGTCAAATTATCGGCATAAGTGTTATGCCAAACAGTTTTTTTTCTATTTCTTTGGTGGTTTGTTGCACAAAGGCCCAAATGTTGGGATTGTTATTCAAGACTTGAAAGGTAGATGACTTGGTTTTGAATTTATGGGGAGGGGGAAAAGCGGAGGCACAGGGGGATGGGAAATCCCCCTGTATGAAGTCCACTTGGCCCTCTTCCCACAATTCCATCAAATCATCCAAGGCCTGAAGATCATTGTATATCCAGTTAATTAGAGGATTAGCATCCGAGATTTGTGATTGAGTGGTATTATATTTATCATACATAACTTTGAACATTAAACGCCTTGCAAATAGATGTACATCTTTGATGATGTCAAAACGGTTTGCATTACTATCTGGGCAAAAGTAATCCTAACTGAAGCACATATCTTTCATCAGATGTAAGGGGATATGAGGATAAATGTATTATTTTAAACTCAGAGTGTTCATTCACATCGGTGTTGAGGGATTCTCTAGAATGTGTTTGTGTGAATCTGTGTTTGTTGTGGCTAAAAAAATAGGTGCTACTCGAGCATCAGTAGAAATAAGATTGGAATTTGGTGTTAATGTGGAAACATTTTTAAAGGGGATAGAAGTGAAAAGACTTGAAGAGGTGTATATAGACGGATTAGAAGCATAACATACATTATCCAAAGGTGAATGACAATAGCCCGATGAGGGTTTAGAATGTGATGGATGAAAGCGTGAAGGTGCTTGTTTAGGCCGCACAGATGAGGGTTTACGTTCACCATTGGGGCCTAATGACCATGTATTAGGATCAGTAGTAGAAATAACAGATTCCCATTTATGTTTTTTAGGATTAATATCGCCTGTGAGATCTTGATAAACCATTGATTGACTAGAAGATAGAGCGGAAATAGAAGGCTTATTAGAGGCACAATCATCATAATTGTTAGACAAAGGAATATTGCGTTTGGGGATATATCTAGGGTAGGATTTTTATTTCATTTATATGCATAACCAAACAAAAAATACCTGGCCATCACAGAGCCTACAGCCTCCCACTGCCAGAATATTCCACCACCTGAGGAAACCCACTCCCCTATATATGCTTTCACACCATCAGTCTGTCCCGCTCATCTCCAAAAAGGCAGCGGGAAGTGACATCGTAATGGCACAGGCGCCCCACATCACAGTGCATACACATTAGTGCTAATCGCAGTTGCCCTGCCCCTCCAACCAGTGCTGCCCCACAACACAGCCAAGGAAAGGCCAAGGTGTGGGTAGAACCCGTGAGCCAGGATGCTTATGCGCCCCAAGATGGATGGCAGCCAAACTGTCTTCATCTCCCACCATGTAGTGGGTAAGGAATGGACAGTGGGACACATATGTCTGCCCATAAGACCAAAATCACAGTGCCACCCATTGGACATAAACAAAGTATCAATGTATATAACAAAAAAAATACAAAGTCCATACATATAACATAACCAATATACTGTAGGTCTTTCCATAGGCACAGATTTCAGGATATACTTCACACCAGTGCTAGAAATATACATCACACAATGAGCTTATTCCATATCAGCAAATTAAGTCATGATAATTGGGTCCTCAGCATAGACTTCAAAGACAGGACTGCAGCTAGCTCTGTCAAGTAGTGTAGGTTTCTGACATGTTAACGTAACATGTTTGATTTGATCGCTTATGTCAGTTTGTAGTTGTTGCTGCTTTTACACTACCTGTATGTATACCAGGACCCTGGCCCCACACAACTGTTGTTTTTGTTTTGTTTTTACCATTGTACTATGTTCTGGTTTCGACGAATAACTTTTTTTTTTCTACTTTTGTACTTTATACAATTAATAAAAAAAAGATTGAAAGTAAAAAGTAAAAGCTCTATCATCCCAATTCAGTGTAAATGCTTCTTTAGACACACTCCCCCTCGTTCTTTTGATCTCAATGAAAATATAAACTCTCACTAGCTGTTTTGACCCCTGCGAATCAGTGAGTCATACCATAAGGTCTCTAGGTGTCTCCCTCTTTCTTACAGATCTACTCCTCAGACTCTTCTCTGTCTCGGAGATGCTGTGAAAACTTTTATAAAAACAAAAATATGTGCATAATGTAGTAACAAATACAAAAATTCATATTCACACATACAGTGGGGATCGAATGTTTGGGCACCCCAGCTAAAAATTTGTATTATTGTGCATAAAGAAGCCAAGGAAAGATGGAAAAATCTCCAAAAGGCATCATATTACAGATTAGACATTCTTATAATATGTCAACAAAAGTTAGATTTTATTTCCATCATTTACATTTTCAAAATAACAGAAAACAAAAAAATGGCGTCTGCAAAAGTTTGGGCACCCTGCAGAGTTAATATCTTGTACTGCCCCCTTTGGCAAGTATCACAGCTTGTAAACGCTTTTTGTAGCCAGCCAAGAGTCTTTCAATTCTTGTTTGAGGTATCTTTGCCCATTCTTCCTTACAAAAGTCTTCCAGTTCTTTGAGATTTCTGGGCTGTCTGTCACGCACTGCTCTTTTAAGGTCTAGCCATAGATTTTCAATTATGTTGAGGTCAGGAGATTGTGAAGGCCATGGCAAAACCTTCAGTTTACACCTCTTGATGTAATCCCCCGTGGATTTCGAGGTGTGTTTAGGATCATTATCCATTTGTAGAAGCCATCCTCTCTTTAACTTCAGCTTTTTCACAGATGGCATCAAGTTACCATCCAAAATTTGCTGACATTTTATTGAATCCATTTTTCCTTCTACTCGTGAGATGTTCCCTGCGCCACTGACTGCAACACAACTCCAAAGCATGATTGATCCAACCCCATGCTTAACAGTTGGACAGAGGTTCTTTTCATTAAATTCTGTGCCTTTTCTTCTCCAAACGTACCTTTGATCATTCCGGCCAAAAAGTTAAATTTTAACCTCATCGGCCCACAGAACTTGTTTCAAAATGCATCAGGCTTGTCTATATGTTCATTTGCAAAGTTCAAACGATGATTTTTGTGGTGAGGACGTAGAAGAGGTTTTCTTCTGATGACTCTTCCATGAAGACCATATTTGTACAAGTATCTCTTTATAGTGGAATAGTGTACCACAACTCCAGTGTCTGCCAGATCTTTCTGGAGGGATCGTGCAGTCAAACGTGGGTTTTGAATTGTTTTTCTCACAATCCTGCGAGCTGTTCTGTATGATATTTTTCTTGGTCTTCCAGATCTTGCTTTAACTTCCACTGTTCCTGATGACTGCCATTTCTTAATTTCATTCCGAACAGAGGATATGGACATCTGAAAACACTTTGCTATCTTCTTATAGCCTTCTCCAGCTTTGTGAGCGTCAACTATTTTCAGTTTCAGTTTTCTAGACAACTGCTTAGAAGAACCCATGGTGCTGATTGTTGGGGCAAGGTCAGATGAGTCTGGGCATTTAAAACCTTTGAGATTGACATCACCTGGTCTTCCCAGACGATGATTGAGAACAATCCATGACACTGGCAGGTCTCAGCTTGGCAAAGGGGGCAGTGCATGCTATAAATTCTGCAGGGTGCCCAAACTTTTGCAGACGCCATTTTTTTGTTTTCTGTTATTTTGAAAGTGTAAATGATGGAAATAAAATCTAACTTTTGTTGACATATTATAAGAATGTCTAATCTGTAATTTGATGCCTTTTGGAGATTTTTCCATCTTTCCTTGGCTTCTTTATGCACATTAATACAAAGTTTTAGCTGGGGTGCCCAAACTTTTGATCCCCACTGTATATCAAAATTAGTGGTCTAACGTATGGTTCCTTATTGTGAATAAAGTGCATTAATGTTAAAAGATAAATTCATATAGTTATTTGATGCACTTCATTTTTGTCATACTTGATTACATAATAAGTTGGAATAATTGTTGTTAAACCTGAGCACTTAAAGGGATAGTGCACCTATTTTTGTATTTGTTCTTGGGTATCCAATATTCATATGTTAGGATGCTGCAGTTCCGGACACACATATTTTAGAGACAGGGAGCGCAGGTGGTTTTGATGGATGTACATAGTGTAGCACTTAAAAAAGAACTAGATAGAAAATGTGCAAATGAGCTTACATCAATCATAAAGCAGAATATCCCAAACCAGTGAAAAGAGATGTGAATGCAAATCACCTATCTTTATCAGCCAAGATCACCGCTGTGCTGTAAATGCATGCAAAAATACCAGAACATAATCTCCTTGTAATGCCTAGGCCCAAACAACACACAATGTCATGTATCATTGTCACCACCCTCTGTC